CCTCGTAGAGCCTTATCATCCTAACAGAGCACTTCGCTCTCAGAGTGCAGGTTTACTTGTGGTTCCTAGAGTCCACAGAAGTAGAATGGGAGGCAGAGCCTTTAGCTATCAAGCTCCTCTCCTATGGAACCAACTCCCAGTCTCAGTTCAGGAGGCGGACACCTTCTCTACCTTTAAGATTAGACTTAAGATGTTCCTTTTTGATAAAGCTTATAGTTAGGGCTGGATCAGGTGACCCTGAGCCTTCCCTTAGTTATGCTGCTATAGGCCTAGGCTGCTGGGGGGCCCCATGATGCTGAGTTTCTCTCCCCTCCCCTCCCCTCTCCCCTCCTCTCCTCTCTCCATGCTTCTATATGCCACCACTACCATCACTAACTTTGTGTCTCCTCTCTCCCATAGTGTGTCCTCTCTCTCTCCCTGTACTTTTCTGCAGGTTGCCCTGGCCCTGGAGCTCTATGTTTCTGATGAGCAGTCACCAGCCACATCAACCTGACCAATGTTTGATTGTTTGTTGCTTTTCTTCTTTTCTCTCTCTCTCCTCAATCCACTCACCCCAACCGGTCGAGGCATAAGGCCGCCCACCAAGAGCTGAGGTCTGTCAGATGTTTCTTCCGTTAAAGGGAGTTTTTCCTCCCCACTGTCGCCAAGTTTTTGTTCAAGGGGGATTTGTTGGGTTTTCCCTATGTAATAATAGTGATAACAGTAAGGTCTAGACCTTAACTTGTAAAGTGTCCTGAGATGACTTTTGCTGTGATTTGGTGCCATACAAATAAAATTGATTTGATTTGAAACCTTCACCCTAACCAGTTATCTCTGCCTACTCCTGAGACTTGGAATCTAATAGTTACCATTCACACTTTGACAAAGACATTGCATTTTTGTTAACTTCTTCAAAATAAAAGCATCCCACCAGTGTGCACCATCAGCAGGCATGGTTCAGATAGAAATGACTTGACTTCACTAATCAATAAAGTAAGGATGATATCTGTTCTGTATGCAAGTCCATGTCTTGGCCATCAATAGGAGCTTTGAAAAACAAAAAAATAATGAAATAACATTTAAGTATCTTTTGTGAACAGATAACTCTTTTATACCATTTGAAAAGTGATCAAATTTGTAGCAAAGAAATTCTGAATAAAAAATTGAACTTTACCAATACTGCAGTGCTGAATAACTCGTGTTCACTGTGTCACAATCCTTTGTACTGTATATTTTTTGCAAAATCAAATATTCTCAGAATTTTATTTTATTTTTCATTGTCAGTATTTCTACTTTCTGTATCTTAATGCATTTTATTGTATTTTACAGTTATTTTAAACAAGTGTGTGATATGCCTTGATGCTAGAAGAGCTGCATGTGTTGTACATGTTTTCTATTTTTACTCACATATTTGCTGTTTCCAATGCCCAACAGCGATCAGTAACACCATCACATTTGAGTTCTGTGGGATTGTTCCACTCTGTGAGCGCAGAGAGATTGTTTCATTGTACATACCACAGGTTTTGGCCTGGTAGTCGCTGGTCACTGTCATGTAGAGTTGCATGACTGGCCGGAGCTGCACCTCCAACAGAACACCAACAGACGTCTGGACAAGCAGGTAGAAGGAGGACGCTCTGAAGGTAGAGATCCCAGCTAGGTGTCAAGAGAAAGGTTGGGAATAGAAGTTTGTTAAAAGGATGGAGGAGAATAGGTGGACTCAAATTCTATTTGTCTGAAAATCTGGCCACTCAGAAAACAATTAACATTTAAAGCACATTAAAATGGAAATCTATCATTTATGTCAGAGACAAATGAAAGTAAAAATGGTTAAGTTGTTGGGGAAAACAGCCACTGATTATTTATTGGGTTCAGATAATGAAGAAGAAAATTAGGGCCATTAAGTGTGATATCACTGAGTTGATGCTGCTGATTTCAGTACTTGAATATATAAACATGATGAGAATCCCAGCACCATTTTTGTGTTTTTCAAATTAATTACACTTTGAACTGATTAATTCATTCATTCATCTTCTATACCGCTTGAACTGATTAATTTTTAAATTAATTTAATTCCACCTTTTTCCTTATACATGGCAATCCTTGTCACAGCTAACTCTTCTCTTGAGCTGTGGAGGTAAAATAATAACTCTTTCATACGACGGCAATGAGATTCAACAGGGGACTGACACACATCCCTCGCCAGGTCAGCCAACCTCTGTGCAGGTGTCCTGGCTGACCACTAGGTGTTGCCAGAGCAGTGCCATTGCATCACCTCATGTTCTGAACAGATTGTTCATTTTAACGTTAGCTGGTACAGGTGTGTGTGGCCCGACAAGCCAACAGGATGCCTGCATGTACAACAAGGCAAGGACAGCGGCTTCAAGCTTAATATGCAAAATCTATGGTGTTTTGATGTTAAGGCTTTATGGTATTTCATGGCAAAGAACTGAATAACTAAGGAATATAAAAACCAGCTTTCATGATGCAATATATAAATGTATATGAGGATGAATTTAGGAGCGTATTTAAATGTTGCTGCTTTATCGTTCAGATAAACTGTGGTACACATTAAATAGAAGCTATGTGACTTATGATGGGGCCACATAGTGTTTATTTTTCCACTTGTAAAATACAGCAAAGGTTTGAGCTAAATTTTGTATAGTGGCAGGAGTCTCACCAGCAGAAAAGGGCAGGGGAGCCTGGATTCCGTTCACAAAAACCTTGCCAGTGGGCTGAATGGTGATCACCTTTATATGATAGGAGACAAGATATTGTTGTTTCAGTGTTTACACTCTGGGTGTGTGTTCCATGATGTTGTTAAAAGAAACAACAACAGTAAATAAAGAAATTATGTTTGCACTGCATGCAACTTTGTCAAACAATACAAGTGGATATTAACTCAATCTAGTCCCAAGAATGCAAAATTATTTTAACTGCATACCGAAATAAATATATAAACCAACAGCTTTCTAAAATGTAAAAAAGATACAAATTCAACATTTTAAAATTCTGTTTTATGCTTTGGCAAAAGGTGGTAATCAAAGCCAGGCTTGGTATTTCAAAAGTAGGTAAACAACAACATTTCTTGTGGTCTCAGATTATGTTTTCTTCATTTCCTAACACAAAAAAGTTTAACAGATATGGAAGAAAAACATTATAAAACAAATGATTAACTCTGTAATCATCTACTAAATTTGGGATCATCCCTAACATTCATTCATTCATTTTCTACCGCTTAGTCTCTGAACGGTGTCACGGGGTGGGCCGGAGCCAATCCCAGCTGGCAATCGGGCGAAGGCGGGGTACACCCTGGACAGGTCGCCAATCCATCGCAGGGCTAACACATAGACGAACAACCACACACACGCACGCACTCCTATGGGCAATTTAGAGACACCAATCAACCTAAGCTGCATGTCTTTGGACTGTGGGAGGAAGCCGGAGTACCCGGAGAGAACCCACGCAAGCACGGGGAGAACATGCAAACTCCACACAGAAAGGTTGCGTGTGGGGCCCGAACCCGGAACCTTCTCGCTGTGAGGCAACGGTGCTAACCACTGCGCCACCGTGCTGCCTCATCCCTAACAATATCTATTATTAGAAAGAATTATCATGCAGGCAAAATTTCAGATTTGTTCCAACTGAATAAATAAAGAGCGTTGTGTGTATAAGTTACTGTCTGTGTGTATTATACTCACATTGGCCCCTCCGGACAAAGCTATGGTAACAGATTTAAGGCAGGTTTCACTCTCAGTCAGTCCACACTGCACCAGTTCTCCCTGTACCATGAACTGGTTTCCAGTGCAGTCCTAAACACACAGACACAAATTGCTGCTCAACTGAAACAAAGATCAGTGTGAAGGGTCCAGAATAGCAGTAAAAAAAGTGATGTAGACATTTCACTTGCAGTAGCAGCAGCCACAATACGAGCTGCATTAATAGTAGTGATAGTAGTGGTAATAGTAATAATATAAGTAGTACATGTACTGTAATAGTAATTGCTTTAGCAATAGTAGTAGTAAACATAGTGTTAAACTATTTCCAGTCATTAACTTCCAGACTAATTCCTCTTCTTCCACTGCAGTTACAGTATATTACATATCAGTCTTTTAGCTGGAGCCTCCTGGTGGTGTACCGAAGAGTTTTGTGTGGATGCTGTAAAGCATCCACACTATGCTCTCCTGTTCTTTATTGTGCAGATGCTTTACAGCATCCACACTATGTTTTCCTCTTATTTATTGTGTGGATGCTGTAGCATACCTCTTATTTATTATTATTCTGATTTCTTCCGTACGTTTTTCAGCACTTAATTCCTTCAGCATACTCTCAGCTACAAAAGCCATTGAGGTATCGAAATGTTCAGCTTTTTAAGCACATGTGCTTGTATTTTTATTTTTTGTAACATTTATACTTTTTCATACATTTAGCATTTTTCAACAAATTTTGCCCCATTCAAATGAGTGGGAAAATTCTACTTCAGCATACCCTCAACTATGTTAGCTGTTTTAATAAGCTCAGCATACTTTCAGCTAGCAAAGCCATTCAGGTATCAAAATGTTCAGCTTTCCCGGGGCAGTCATTTCTAAACTTCACACTTTTGAAATATTATAGCTTTATTTTGATAATCTTGCCCCATTCAAATAAATTGGGAAAATTCGACTTGAGCATAATTTCAGTTATCAAAATGTTCAGCTGTTCAAGGACATTTAAGCTTTTCTTAAGAATTTTTCTAAACTTCATACTTCTGAAATATTTATCTTTATTTTGAAAGTTCTGCACCATTCAAATGAATGGTAAAATTCTACTTCAGCATACTTTCAGGTATCAAAATGTTCAGCTCTTCAAGGACATTCATGCTTCTATTCAGAAGTTTTCTAAACTTCATACGTTAGAAATATTTCTCTATATTCTGAAAATTTTGCCCCATTCAAATGAATGGGAAAATTTTACTTCAGCACACTTTCAGCTATCAAAAAGTTCAGCTCTTCAAGGACATTCATGCTTCTCTTCAGGATTTTTCTGAACCTTATAGCTTTTGAATGATTTAGCTTTATTTTGAAAATCTTTCTCCATTCAGATGAATGGTAAAATTCTACTTCAGCATACTTTCAGGTATCAAAATGTTCAGTTCTTCAAGGACATCCATCCTTCTATTAACAATTTTTCAATACATCACACTTTTAAAATATTTAGCTTTATTCTGAAAATCTTGCCCCTTTCAAATGAATGAGGAAATTCTACTTAAGCAAACTTTCAGGTATTTCAGGTATCAAAATGTTTAAGTCTCCCAGGACATTCATGCTTCGACTCAGAATTTTTATACACTTCACAGGTCTGAAATATTTTGCTTTATTTTGAAAACTTCCCCCCTTTCAAATTAATGGGAAATTGTACTTCAGCATACTTTCAGGTAGATATGCCTTTCAGGTGTCAAAATTGTCAGCATTTTCAGGGCAATCCTTCAGCACAGCATCCATATGCATTTTCAACAGGAAATGCATTTCTCTAGTCTAGTTCATATATATTTTCCTCCTTTATTCCTCTATTTCCTTTTTCCTTCCATTTTGTTGAATTAGTTGTTATTAAAGGTTGTCAGTTAGTTTGCACATGCTGCCATTTTTCTCATTCTTTTGCCCTTTTCTTTCATTTGTTTCATTTGGTGAAGAGACAACTTCTATTCTTTTGTTTTTACTAATAAAACATTTTATCATTAACAGTGTTCATTTTGAGATTGAGGTCTGGGTTTTGTTTTGCAGTGTTGTGCATTTGTTACCTCAGCAGAGGTGTGTGTGTGTGTGTGTGTGTGTGTGTGTGTGTTTTATCACAGCAGTCTACTACCTTAGCCAGAACATAGGAGCAGTCTCCATGAAAGGTGTAGACCTTTCCATCAAAGGTGTTGACATGAGCTCCTCCCTCCACGGAGCAGGTTCCTGGACAGTTCTCCTCCGTACACTTCCACTGGCCGCTGTCACACACACTGTCAGCACACACAGTCTAAACTTAATTGCCAGTGAACAATTCATTTGCAACATCTCCAAAACTGTTTTATAAACCAGGCTGAACAGATTGTGGGATCTACTGTGTCTCTGTACTGGGCACACGCTGACAAAACAAAAACGGGTTTCTTCATATGAATTAGATTTTTCAAAACAAAACACATTTATATAATGTGGAGTGTTCCTTTACAGTTTTTCTCTCAAATGAGAAATGGAATTTTCAAATATACTTGTTCAGCCTTCACGTCATCTAGTCACTTGTGTACATCATAAATGCAATTTCTCACATTTTTGAACAAATTGCAAATGTTTTCATACATTCATGCAAATGTGTCCTGAACTGAGGAACCACTCTCAAATTAATCTTGATTTCCCTCATGAAGGGGAATTTGTGAAGTATTAGGTAAACTAGTTCTCTAAACTAGCTCAAAGGTGCATCTCATGAACCTTCAACTGGCACGCACATACAGTATAGAGTGTGGACAACACAGGGTTGCAACAGAAGAACAAGGAAATAAACAGCATCAACTGCTGGAGAGAAGCAGAAGAAGAGTAAATGACTTTCTTTTCTGTATCACAGTGACAGTAAACACAGTAGAGGTGTAAATGTGAATCTGTCCAGTCTTTTGCAGTCAGTCTCCCACATTATCATCCATTAACCATAGTTTACATAAGAAAATACTTAAGAGTACATAGTTACATACGACTAAGCATTGTGACTATGTTGTTCATAAAAATTACAAAAGGGCTTTTCATTCTGATGGCACTGACACATGAGTTACTTTTGACAAATAAACCAAGAATTTTGAGCAAGTGACAAGCTTTTGCAGGTAATCCACGGTGTGGTACTATTAGTACAAAGTGATTGGAGAAATGTACCAAAACAACTGTAATGTGCGCAGACTGACATTCTGTGTATCATACCATTTTCTGCAGTTATTGGAGTAGGACTCCCCAGGTCTATAGATCTTGTTGTTGTAGTTGCAGGAACACTCACTCAGTGGAACACAACCTTTACCATGAAAATCATCCAGCACCATGCCTGAAAGCAAAGTAATACTGTATAGAAATATATTATGTATCTGCAGTTATGTTCATGTACGTATGTGTGTATCGCTCTGCTGTACCTGCAGGACAGGCGCATCCATCAATACAGTGGTTGTCACAGGTGTGGCTGGCCTCTGGGTTGGAGCAGGTATCAGCACAGGGACTTCCACACTCTTTGTACTCCATTTCGTGGGGACACGACTTCCCTGTGAGTACACCAGCTGTTTCTCACAACTTGACTTAGGTAGCTCTCAGATAACATTAATTCACACAAACTTTAGTACTGTAACCTGGTCCCGGCCCTTGAAGGACATTAATTCAATTGTACTTATTGGCATGAAGTCAAATAAAATTAAATAAAAAGTTACAATTTTCATATTTTTTACCTTGTTTATTAAACTGTAGTCATTTTGTCATGTCCACTCTGACCATGTCTCACATTCATGTGTAATAACACTCAGTGAATATTGTATCAATCTCAAACCTTTTTGTTTTTAGGAACATATATGCTTCTGTCCTTGTGGTAAATGTGATAATAAACGTGTAAGAAGCATATTTTGTTAAAATAGTATGATTGATGTGTCCATAAGTGTCGTGTTTCACCCCATCACACCAATGTGTTTCTGCACTAAAATACTGTTTTGTTCTACTAAGTAACACTACTAAGAGGAAATTACTTGAATTAAGGGTTTGAAGAAGACAAATTCAAATGCTGGTGAGACTGAATAATCTTTCCAAACATTTTTTGGTACATTTTTCTTTTAAAACCTTCTCTGTCAAACATAACATGTCCACCCCGTCACTCAAAAAACATTTTTAATAAAAATTTCAAAATGATTTTGTATAAAAGCGTTACTTTTTCATTTAGCTGCATGCTATGTGTGATGTTGTCAGCAAGGCTGTAAAAACGGGCCTCAAAGAGCACCGAGATACAGAGAAGGCAGAGGAGAAAGAGGAAGTTCCAGGGGAGTTTGAAGAGGACAAAGGAATTATTATTAAAATGCTGTGGCAGAATGCTTAGAAAAGTTAAGCTTTTAATAATTAAAGATGATCATAAGATGATTTATGTGTTTTGTTTGAAATAATCATTAGTAAATGTGTAAGAATAAAATGTGAAATAATTGTATTAAAAGGATGGGGAAAAGTGATTTTACATCTAACAGAGTGAAAAGTACAGAATCACACCAGTGGAAGTAGACACACATCCCTGAAATGAGGAACTGCAGGAGTGTGTATGTGACACAGAGAAGAGACACACAACATAGTGAAGAAGTAAAATGATGATTCTAAGCACAAAAGTAAAGATTTGACTGATAATTGTTTGATCAATATCTGATCAAAGATGATCAATGTTTAGTCAAGTAATGTATTCAAAATATATAGATCTGTGTTTTGACTTTAAGGCATTGATAGTTTTGTGTGAAATCAGTGTGTAATTGTGAGTGTTCTGTTAAAAAGCAAGGATGGAATTATGATATTTCAGTTAGATGAGTTTCTTGTATTTTTGTATTCAGATGGTTTTAGTTTCTAGAAAAGAGGAAGTAGAATCCAAGGCTGGATCACAGTGGGGCAGAGGCCGGTTACGGGCTGTAGGCTTGGACTGACAGTAAAAAAAATATGCAATACTTCAGAACAATATGATTTTGCACGCCAAATAAGGTATCAACTGCAAACTGTGGCATCTGGTTGGATGAGAGGACAAGAACGAGGACGACTGACCAAGAATCCTATAAAAACCGAGGCAAAAAGAGGAACAGAGATTCCTTTCACGGCTGCGGCCGGAGGCTCTGTCTGGTTGACCATCTGACTTCCAGAAGACCGAGGACTGCGGAGAGGCAGTCCAGGGAGAGGGCACCCCTCTGGGGGTGCTCCCCCGCAGGCACTAGCCTGTGAAGAGGAAGATGCATGCCAACGAGGGAGTGAGCCCCTTTTCTGGGTGCTTGGACACAGGCATCGGCCTGTCAGAAGAGTGAGATGCATGCCAACGTGCGGTGAGGTTGACAGCTGGTGAGGCACTGACTCTTTTACAGTCAGATTTACAAATACAAATGAACCGTTAACAAATTGTCTGTTAACAGACAATGCGTTATGTTTTATATCTCATATCAGCATTCTTCACACAATCGTGACCCATATTTAATTTGAGGTTAAAATTTATTCCAATTGAGCTTATT